AACCAAAAAGTCCTTACACATAAATTATATAAAAGTCGCAACCGGTTGAACTAGAGTTGAGGGTGTGGATGGAATTTTTCGGGACAGTTATTTTAACTCAGCCGATTCTATATAATAGCTACAAATATACACTTATGAATCAAATGAAACTGGAAATGAATGATTGCTATCAAGCCATAGATACTACCCGGGAAAGTAAATATGTTTACAAGACCGACATAATGGTAATTGAACGGAATACAACAATTTGTGGCAATTTGAGTGCGTAAATAATTAACAAGTTAGGTAGCTATTTAAGGGTCTTAGTGTTGCACTATTACATTCAGCAGGTAACATGAAGACGGTGGGGTTATTTTTTGCACATTTTCTTCTAAATAACATCCACTGTCATGAGTTAGTATGCCGTAATATAACCCGCGATGCTACTGCACGACAGCTCAACGAGTTTAAAATGCGACATCCGGTAAGTAAAATATTTTAAATTCGAAATACTTATCTCTGGCAGTTCTACCAACTTTTATGTGGTATTGTCAACAAAGACTCAGTTTTTGATTAGTTGGCGTAAAAAATTCCGTGCGTTTTTGTTAATGTAATGTCAAAGTCGAAGTCAAATAATCTTTACTTCACAGGATCGAGTATATAACCAGGAATAAAGACGAAATAAGGGCCATCCATCCATGGCAAATCAATGGGCCTTATATCACTTTTAAATGTCAACTGTCGTTTGCACAGAAGCCAAAAATTAGAAAGCTGAAAAAGTATATTCCAAAAATATTCTTTATTTATTGTAATAAACATAATAATCTCTAACAATGGATGGCTCTTCCATTCGGTGGTGTGGGAAAAACAGCAAAACGTCTAATTACAAAACAAACGGAATCACATTTCATCGGTAATTAAATATTATGTAATTTTTCAATTTGCGTCCATTATGGCAAAGCTCAAGTTAAACTGGTCAATTTACAGACGACACCCATCAATTGTTTCACTTCATTATGCGTCTTGCTTTGTGCAACGTCCACTGCGTCATTGCGTCCATTGCGTCTTCGCAGCAACAATAAGTTAAGTTCTCCCGAAGAATTAAATGCGCTGGAGAATATAATAACGTAATTTTGTTACAACTATCAAACTACTGAACCAGATTGAATATTTGTATTCACCGGAGCTCTTTCGCTGTATTTTGCTGAAACTAAGCGAACATACTAGAGCTCGTTTTACGGATTTGGCCGCGATACAATTACCCATGGAACAAAACGTTTCAAAATTAGAGATGTTGTCTCGGTTTTTGCTTGTTGAAGCTGATAAACAGCTAAAGTTCAGTTTCATACCCGGTCCGTTTTCATATCCGACGTGAAGCCGCAAAATCCCTCTCATTTTTGAAGCCCTTTACTAAAAAAAAGACTGTACATGCCACAGTTTCAAATAATAAACCAGCCGAATGTACCTTTTGCCAACAAGGGCACTCTATAAAAATATGTAAAACTTTCTTGGCTCTGAGTACTGACGACAGATGGCGTTGGGTTCCAGAGAACAAATCGTGCTATCGCTGTTTGAAATCGAACCGACACACACGTGGAACACTTAAAACACGACGAAAACACGATTAACTGTCGTTCACTTTTTTTGATGTTACGACGACAGACTGTCGTGACAATGGGGGGAGCTAGAACGAGTCGTTCAACGAAAAAAACTTGATAAAAATTTTACGACAAATAATCACCGCTTCAAATAATCGCAGCAATAAATCGTCGTCACGATCTAGTGGGAACAGCTAGACACGACAGTCGTTCAACGATAAAATAAACATCCAGGACACAGTCACGACAGATAGCCGTGATATGGGAACAGCTTAGACACGACACTCGTGGAACGATAAATAATACGTTACGATATAATGGGAATGCGCCCTTATTAGTTAGGTACGCAAGTTAAAAATGACAGATTATCCTGTTTCTTGGAATGAACGTCCAAAGCTGAAATTCCAAAGTTTAAAGTCAAATGCTCAAAATGTTTATTACATAGATACAGATGTCATTTATTTCTATATAACTGTGATGGGTGCAGTTTTTATTAGTTGTTTACTCAAGTAATCTGAATGTTAAATATTACGAATAATATAAATTATATATTATCCAATCAATTATGTATTAAATATTCTAATGTAATTCAAACGCCTATTGCAATAGTATGCCTAAATACATATAAGATCCTGTATACACGGCGTATTTTTTACGTGCAGAAGACGCACGTTAACACGATTTAAACGAGATTCAGTCGCAGCCAGTAAATTTTTTTGTAAGCCTCGATACGCCGTAAACGCACGTAAAGAATACGCCTTGTGTATAGTCTGTGTATGTATTTATAATGCCGTTACGCAACTTTCGTTACAATCTCGATAACCATTGATTCAAAATTAAATGAAACCTGCAATTAATCATAGCTACTACGAACACTACCTTGGGAAGTAAATAAATATTCTTACTTGACCGACTTCATAGAAAAAAATGTATGCGTAGACAGTAATACAACGGAATAAAACAATTATGTATTTTAACTAATTTGATTGTGTTCGTGAATGATTAACAATTTAACTATATATACATATTTAAGTTTCGCCCTGTTACATTCCGTTGGCAACATGAAGACTGTCGGGTTACTTATTTCTTCTCTTTTTCTGAATAATATCAACAGTTATGAATTAGTTTGTCGCAATGTCACCTACGATGCTACTGTACGACAGCTCAATGAGTTCAAAATGCGGCGGAATCCGGTAAGTGAAAAGTAGTGTTATCTACTTACTAAACGGCATAATGACAACAAGTGTAATTTTTTATTAGTTATCGTATTTTCCGTACGTTGTTGTAACCCTAATAATGAGTTGCTTTACGAAAAGAGTCTTTCCATAGCTGGACTTGCTTGACTTGACAAGATAACTACCCCTGAATAAAAGGGTGAAATATTAAAAAACTTTAACACCCCATTTCACCTCTATTTAGAGGTATCTAGCTGAGTATGGGAACTTTTTAAAATGTGGGACGACTGTAAAAAATAAAACACAATGTGACAAAAATGTATACCTAAACAATACTTAAATGAGAGTTATGAAAGTTAGTAAAGGAACGTTTTGACAAGACCTTGCCTATGAGATTGAGAACAGTGGGACCATTTATGGCAGATTTCTGAGATTTGAGCAGATAAAATTTTTATTCTTTGTTATTGCGGCAGAACATGTTAACGTTGTATTAAATGCAGCAGAATTTGGCAGATTCGGGAATATTCAGCAAGTACTTTATTATTTTTGGGAACAAACTGAAAACTTGTTGTTTTCTGCTACCACGAGCAAACATCTGAAGCGACATACAGGACAAAATACAAACATAACTTATATCAATTTTATAACCCCAACTTCTACAGGCTGTATTCCATTAACTTTTTTGATGCTTTGATAATGAATCACAAGTATTGATAATTCTTTTTAATGCACGTCGTCAAAAACACTGGCTTACAAAATACACGGGATGTCGCCATCCTTCTTTAATCCAATCTTGCTCTTTTGTACCATTATTCTTAGTAAATTTAAATTTTGCTTTTACTCTAAACTACACACATCAAAAGTGTCTAGGGATCAAGTGAATATTTTTGAAATAAAAATTATTTAAGCAATATTTACCAAATCCAGTCTTCCAGGACGACTTCTTACTTTAATGCTTATGTTTTATTTAACCGCTTACCCCTATATTTAATAAAAATAAACTAAAATTGATGTTTTTTTGCGAAAATGATGATTTTGCTCATTTTTATTGTAAAGATAAGAAAATTAATAATCTGTATTTCCACCATTAACACGAATCACCCAATTACAGCGATTTGGCATGCTTAAGATGAGTTCATCAAAATCACTTTGAGGAATGGCCGCCCATGTGTTTTGTAACAAGTCAAAATATTGTTGTAGAGTATGTACGGTATGCATACTCGGCACAGCTCTTCTATGACGCATATCCCATGCGTGCTCAATCGGATTGAGGTCTGGCGATTGAGCAGGCTACGGCAGAACGTTGATACGAGCTTCGGCAAGAATGCGTGTTACGACTCTAGCCGTGTGTGGACGTGCGCTGTCATGCATTAGTTGAAATGAATCACCCAACTGGCCTCGCAAAGGGATGATAACATCTGAAACAATCCTCTCTGCGTAAACTTGAGCATTGAGGTTACCCCTGATCCAAATGAGATCGGTTCTTCCGCCGATCCAAATACCGGCCCATATCATTATTGTTCCCCCACCATATGGATGAACTTCCTGACAATATCTCAAACGTTCATGACGTCCAGATGTTCTCCAAACTCGAGTACGTCTTGTATTCGGTCTCATACCGAAGCGGGATTCATCCGAAAAGCACACATAGCGCCAGTCTTCTTCCTCCCAGTTTCTGTGTTCGCGAGCCCATCGTAAACGGGTCCTGCGATTGCAGGGTGCAATAGGTGGAACTCTGAGCGGCCTTCGGGATCGCAGACCCACTTCACGTAAACGATTTCGGATTGTTTGATCGCTTATTAGCAAGCCTGAGGAGCTGTGAAGCCTCGTAACCAACATCATGGCGGTCATGGTACGATTCCGTCGAGCAGTATTTTGGATATACCGGTCCTGTCTGCGAGTCGTGATGCGAGATCGTCCTCCATGTCGCTCGGCCACGCTGCCCGTCATGCGATAGCGCGTCCAGAGGCGACTTATGACGCTCTGTGTAGTGTTAAGAGTGAAAGCCACAGCACGTTGCCTGGAACCAGCTTCCAACATTCCGACGGCTCGCATCATCACTTCTCGGGTTAAATGATGTCGTCTCTCCATAATAATGTAAATTGTTTCGGTTCCGATGCAGATATTGTAATGATTTTGTCAAAACGCTATAACTCATTTTTATACAAAACCACATTGACAATCGATTTTCTTCTTATTATCGAATTTTAAACAATATTCCTTATTTAAATGTTAAAACTCACTAAAAAGTACCAATAGCGATACAAAAAAGTTAATATAATTAACCCTAATTGCAGCAATACTCTTAAACGTACTTGATCCCTAGACACTTTTGATGTGTGTATTTACCATAATTAAATTGATTTTGCATGAAGCAACAAGGAACATCATTGATCGCTATTTAGCCACTGCGATTAGCAGGGCGTCCATCTTCAATTTTTTCTGGCTATTACAGTCAGTAACCATGATTTGGACTCTTCTTGAAATACCCATTACCCATACGGATATTTCGGGGTTCTTTGCCCAGGCTTACTGATCTATAACGATGTGAACTATCCTGACGTTGCGTACTATACGAATTACCTACCTGATCACCGTTCCTTATCCGCATGCAATCTACCGGACTGAAGGGAAGTGGTTTTCCGATATTAGGAACAGTGCTCGTTTGGTGAATTCGACCTTATTACCCTGAGCTAGTATTAAAATCTCTA